TCAAAAAGCCATCACACCTTGAAGAGGATGAGTGTGATCTTAATCTTTTATGTATTTTATAAGATTTGTTCATAAATAAATATTCCCTTTATAATTAAAAAGTAAAAAAATAAATAGACCTGGGAATGGTGGCATATGCTTGTAATTCCAACACTCAGGAGGATGAGCCAGAAGGATCACCACAAATTCGAAGCCGGCCTAGGCTACAAGTAAGTTCAAGGCCAACCTGAACAACATTGTGAGACCTTGTCTCAAAAAAACAAAAAAAACAAAATGTAAGAAAAATAAGAAAATGAAAAAAGAAAAAATTATAGAGGCCAATATTATTAGAATATTAAGTCTTATGGAACAAAATTCCCACAAGGGTATTTAAGCCTTTGAAAGTTACAAAGTCTACATAGATGGGAGGCACTGTTATCAAGGATCATTTCCTTTTCTTATAAGTTTTTCACAGTATATACAAAAGTATTTAGTATGCACTACTAATTATTGAGGAAAGTAAGAACTCAATAAATATCTGAGTAAATAAATGATATAAACAAGGAATAAATAATAATAATCTATAACTCAAAGAAAGATTTTTAAAAAATAGCATTTGACAACCCATACAGTATAATCTAATATCCTAAGGAAAAGCATTAAAAATTTTAGCAAACAAATTAACAAAAGACTGCTTTTTCCTACTCAAGGCTATCTTGTTTCTACCAATATGACTAATGTTCAAAGTCTTAGGCTGACTAGTGAAAACCTGAGCTGCTGTGCAAATGGATCTAGAAAATAAAGAGCAGTATTTGAAATGCGTACATTTCAACGCCTTGCTGTGCCAAAACATCAAGGCAGTATGTTCATCTTTCTCATAATCTCTGAGCTCCAGTATGAGCAAAAGGCTGTGACGTGTGCTGTGCACAAAATAGACAAAGATATTGACACAAGTCTTTCCTCGGTGATTAATTCCACAACATCTTAATGTTCTTGATCTTCTCTTAGTTATAAACTATTATACAATAAATAGCATTTCCCAAAATTACTTGAGGAAGGAGCCTCTACCCTCAAAATTTGGCAATATATTTTTTAAAGCTATGATTCCAAAGATATTAGTAGTTTTTTACTGAAATGGACATAAGTGTTTAAAGTGCTCAGAATATTAATGAGTTAAAATAGAAAAGACAAAGTTTAACTGAGTCAGTTGGAAAGCATGTAGTCGGCACTCACTCTTGACAAAACCGAGAATTGAGATCAATGAATGTGACCAAGACAGAAAGGGAATTTCCCTTGTTCAGTTAACCATATCACTGCTGTGTACATTTAGTCATTTAGGATGAATCGAATGGATGTTAACAGAGAAAATTCTAGATCTATATGCTATTCAATAAAAGTGGGAGAACTGAAATCAGAAGATTAGAAGGCCAAACAAAATTGCTCCTGAGTGGCATTGATCCAGTGATGGGACTTTTTCCTACTTGATAATGTTATTGAAACACCCACATGCTATTCAGCAGTATCTTGCTGATAGATGGCTCATCAAAGATTGGAATTCAGAAATTAATATGCTAAGTAATATAATCTCATTATACAGCAATCATTAAGGTACTAGTTGCATTCTAAAACTTTATCTGAATCTGTAATTACTACTAGAATTGTTGACTTTCAGGGCAGACACAGATCATTTATCTGACCTGTTCGCATTTCCAGAGAGTTCTAAGCATTGTATTTAACACACATCATCTCATCAAATGCATTTATTCAACAAACACGTGAGTGCCTATTTTATTCACCAAGCTCTGCTGTAGGTGCCAGAGATACTTTAGCAAACAAAATCAGCAAAGTCTCTGCCTTCACAGAGCTCTTATATTAGTGGGGAAGATTAAGCAACAAAAATGAGCAGTTATTACCTTGTGTCGGAATGACATAGTTCTAAGCAGAAGAAACAAACCAGGGAAGCGGGCTGTGAAATATTTTGAGAAAAAGGCAAGTTTAAAAGGAAGGTCATCTTAGTCTTCACTTTGTTTACTTTTGAGAAAAGAGCTGAAAAAAAAGTAGAGGCACCAATTATGCAAACGTCCATAGCTAGTGGACATTTATTAATATTAGATGATCATTCCAGGTAAAAGAACAGCAACTGCAAAGAAACTGACGGGGACACACTTGGCCCCAGGAAAGAAGAGATGACATAGGAGGACCTAGGAAGTGGTGGCATCAGAGACTCAAAAGGGGAAGGTCCTGGGGGTCTTGGAGATCTTGGCTTTCAGCAGCATAACACAACCAGATTTACCTTCAAAGAGGCATCCTGCTGCTGAAGAGTGGAAACTTCAGCAACAGAGAATAGAAGTGATCGAGGTGGGGAGATGTTATTGAGTTCTATGCATATTTTGAAGGCAGACTGGCAGGATTCGTCATTGGACTGAATATGGAACGTGAGAGAGAGGATACAAGAATGAGTCCACAACTTTGGCATAAGTGAGTAGAGAAATGAGCTGCAGTTAACTGAGATGAGAAGACCATAGAGGAGGGTTATCCCAACCCACAAAATGTGACTTGAATACACAAACAAATGAAGGTGTTAGGCTGACTGGCAGATACTCAGAACTGCTCGGGAAAATTTTTCAGCCTTGAGAACAGATGAAATTGTCCAGCAAATGACAGTAGATAGAAAAGAGAAGTCCAAGGTCAAAGATCTCAGACACTTCCACATTAAAAGATCAGCGAGAAGAACCCAAAAGATGAATGAAGAAAGAGTGACGCAGAGATAAAAAGCGAAACACAGTCAGAGACAAAGGAGCTCATGTCTTTATGTTCAAATGGGTCAAATGCTGCTATCAGGTCAAGAGAGGTGAGGGCCACAACATGGCCAGTGAACTCTGCAATACGGAAGTCACTGGGGACCTTGAACAGGGATTTTCAGGATAGCGTAAAAATGAAAACAAGAGGGAGTGAAGTTTAACTCTGCAAAGAAGAGAGAAGTTGAGGAAAGAATTCTTTCAAGCAGGTTTACTCTGAAGAGAAAGAGACTAGTAGGTTAGTAGCTGGAAAGGGTTAGCAAACTGTGAGATGACTGACAGCTTCATGGATGCAAACAAATTGCCCAATGGAAAAATTATGGGGCAAGAGTTGAGCATTCTGTCAGAACCCACATTCCAACCCACATTCCTCAACAAAGGGATGAAGCCCTGGCATTCATTTATTGTGCTATTCGTGGGAACCACCGCTGGCATAGCCACACATAGCCAAAGCAAACTGGGTACTTACGGAGAACAGGGTGTTAATCTTAATGCAATTTCCTGCAGGCTACCACCTCATATCTAGAGCTCTTTCGTGACTTTTTAATTGGAATTCTAAGAAGAAGAAAAAAACTAAATGTCTCCCTCTTGTCTACCAAATGTGAGCTTCATGTTGGAGAAAGTTGCAGTCCACGCTCATTCTTGCAGGGAGACAGAATCACAATCCCTTGAGACTTTGAACATCTACTCACAACAGTTCCCATGCCTGAACTGACCTCTTTCATAATCCACATTCATGCATCCACTCAACAAACACTGAATGCCTCCTATATTCTAGGCTCTTTTCTAGGAGTTAAGAATACAGCAGTGAACAAAAGAACAATCTTAGTTCTCCTGGAGTTTACACTCTATGTGAAAGAGAGAAAAGAGGCCAACCTTTCCAAGGTCTAGGGAAAAACAATGAGTGAAAGGGCCTGTTTTAAGTCTTGAAAGGACTGTTTAAGAAGTCTTAAGTACAGAAACGGCAGAAGAGTGAGATTCTACAGAGCAGGCTGAGCCAAGTCCTGCAGATTAGATTTTACTCTAAGCATAAGAGGAGACTATCAGAGATGCATGATTCAGATTCCACTGGCTGCTAGTGGCAGAGACTGTAGCGGGATGAGGGTGAATCCAGTTGAGTAGCCTAGTAAGGGAATGGCTGCCAGAATGGAGGAGGGACTGTGGTGGTAGCTGGAAGGGATGTTGAGTCTAGAAAACTGTGCCACAGAAAGAGGGAAAATCTGATGGATTCACAGAATGTTTTGGAAGTAGAGCTGACAGAAAGTGTGTTGATGCCATGGAAAAGAGAATGCAGAGGTTAGTGAGGGACTAGAAGGGAGAATTAAAGGGTGACCTCCAAGGTTTCTGCCGGAAAAGTGGTGATGCCAACTACGAACAGTGTGCAGTCTAAAAAAGCAATAAAATTTGGATGGGATCAGAGAGAAAAAGAATTATGAGAGCTCTATCTTCTACACATTTTGGTAAAGATGTTATTAAACAATTGGCTATGTTGCTGGGGAAAGTGAGATATTTACCTTTCAATCCCTCAAGTCCCAACCCTCATTAAACTATCTTTGATCAAAGTGATCTCACTCTTGTCTGAAATCTTTAGGCCACCTCTTCTCCAAGCCCTCCATTACGCAGCTGTATTTTGGTCATCTTTGTTCTGTGGCACGTTTTGTGGTTATATATATATATATATATTTCTATTATTTTGAATATGAATTTTGAATTAGAAGCCAAGAGTTCTTCTCCTATTTTTGTCCCCAACAAGCTGTGTTGTCTGTGGACTTTACTAATACTCAAAAGGTGACCATGGATAAAACAAGAGGACCAGAAGGGTATATCCTACTCTAAAACTATAGCATTTGATGGGCTTATTTCATAATTAATTCATTGGAGTCGAGGACTACGGGCTTCTTTAAGGTCATATCACAAGGAACGCAACGCTTATAAGCAGTTGGCTCTCTCGATAAATCATATTGAGGAGCCTGGGAGAGTAGCTTTGCTTCCTAGCACGCTCAAGGCCCCGAGTTCCTCCCCAGCACAGCAAAGAGGGGGTGACTGGCTGAGACACACAAACTAGAGCATAACCACTAATGTAACATGCTTTGTTGAGTATTGATTTGTCTTGGCCCACTCCACACATCTTGACTTGATTACGCTGATGCATTTAGAATAAAAGGCCATGCCACCCTGCTGCTGCCTCCCCTTCCAGAGCCAGTCTCTCCTGACATCAGATACCTCTCCAGCTCAGCGACCTCATTCCTCAGTAACCAGGCAACCAGGAAACGTTACACTTAAAAGTTGAAAGACTTCCTAAAAGAGTCACTCAAAAAGTTTTGTGGTACCGAGTGAGCCCAGGATCTCCGGTGTGAGCACCCGAAGTTGGGAAAGGAAAGGCCCTCTGGGGGTCTCTCAGTCACTCACGGGGACACCGGCGCCCCCTGAGTCCCCGCGCCCTCCTTCGACCCAGACTCTCCCACTCGGAGTCCAGTCCCCCCAACCCAGGTGTGGGCAGCCGGTACCTGGCGGGTAATACCGCAGCAGGAGGCTCTTGAGCTTCATTTTCTCGCTCTTGGGTTTCAAAGAGAGGGGCTTCGTAGCCATGGAAACCGCCAAACAGCAGCGGGTCGCGGATGCGCGTGCGCAGGCGAGTTCCGGGCGCACTGAGCGGTGAGCGCTGGTGGCCTGCAGGGAAGACGCGGGTGGCGGGCGGCGGGACTCGAGGGGCGGAGCGGGCCACTGCGTCCCCATACGTGAGTTAGCTTGGAGTTCTTAAAATTTCCTTCAATCGACTCACTCCTTTTACTTCACTTGTTAAAGTGTAATTTAAGAGGGAAATCGTGTCACTGTTATAAATGAAAATTTCATGTAATTTTCAAAGAGCAGGTTCAAATACATGCAATTTTTTTAAAGGGGGTGTTAAATTACTAGTTTTGTCTGACAAAGACTCTGAACCAAGACTCGCCCTTTCTTTAATTTTTTTTTTTTTTTTAGAAGGAAAAAATAACTATTTGAGATGTTTACAAGACAGGTTAGCAGCCACCTGAGCCTTTCTACCTGATGTGCTCAGAAGGTAGGAGCACTAAAATAGGCCGGCCTTTGCGACCCACTGTCTTGTCTCTGGAGCCTTACCATCCCACACTTGGGAGACGGGAAACCGTGTGAAATCTAAGATCCTTCCTACTCACAGTGCCTCCGGTCATTAAGACTCCCAGGAAAAGGTTTAAGTAGAGAGGAACAAAGAGTTCATCTTAGAGAAAGGAGGAAATCGTTGGTGGATTTGGTTCACACGTTATGATTTTAAGCTCCTGGCCTTTGGCTGGGTGCTGCAGTCCATGCCTATAATCACGACTGCTAGAGGGCTGAAACAAAAGGATTGCTGGCTCCAGGCCAGCCTGGCAAGACAGTGAGACCCCATCCCAAGAAAAAAAAACAAGCAGCCTTTGGAAAAATAATTTAACCATGGAAAAAACTGACAAGTACCATATAAACCCTGTGATCAAAACAGCATTCCAAAGCTGGGGATTTAGCTCATTGGTTCTGCTACCTGCTTTGCAAGTGCAAAGTCCTGAGTTTGATCCCTGGTACAAAAAAAAAAAAAAGGAGCATGTCCAATACTGAGCACATTTCAGATGCCCATTTTTGGATTGAGTCTTTAAATTTGGGAGGTCTGATTTTTTTTAAGTTCTTTATAGATTATAGATAGTAGACTTTTGTCTGAGGAACAGCAGGTGAAAATTTTTTCCCACATTGTGGGTTGTCTCTTCACACTGCTGGTGGTTTCTCTTGCTGTGCAGAAGCTTTTTAATAAGAAGAGATCCCACTGGTTGATTGTTTGTGCTAGTTCATGGTCAACTGAGGTTTTGTTCATAAAATCTTTTCCTACACCAATGTCTTCAAGAGTTCTATCTAACCTCTATTCCTGCTGGTTCAGCATTTCTGTTTTAATATTTAGATCTTTAATCCATTTCACTTTCAGTTTAGTGCATGTTGAGAAATATAGGTCTAGTTTTAATCTTTGGCAAGTTGAAACCCAATTTTTCCAGTACCATTTATTAAAGAGGCTATCTTTCCTCCAGTGAGGGTGTTTGGCTCCTTTGTCAAAGATGAGGTGGCTGAGTGTGTCTGGAGTTGTTTCTGTATCTTCTAATCTGTTCCACTGGTCCTCAGGTCTGTTTCTTTGCCAGTACCATGCTGTTTTCATCACAGTAGATTTGTAATACAGTTTCAACTTGGGGGTTTGCACTGGGCCGGGGATTTAGCTCAGTGGTTCTGCCTCTTGCTTTGCAAGCACAAGGTTCCAAGTTTGATCCCTGGTACCAAAAAAAAAAAAAAAAAAGGAGCAGAGAACACAGGACTTCTCAAAAGTCCTGCCCAGAATTCATTACTTTATTCTGATCATAAGGAAACAATTAACTTGTAAATCACAATTAACTCTATCCTTAATTTTGCTGCCCTTAATAGATTTTATCTCTCACAAGCCCGAGCAAACCAAGCTGAGAAAATTGTACAAAATAATTTCAAAGTCAAGAAAGAACACATTGAATAGATAAACCAACTAAATGTACTGGGTGATCTTGTATACTGGACCAGAAATAATTAGTTATAAAAGACACCATTAAGACAATGAATGAAATCTGAATAGGAATTGTGGTTCAGCTCATAGCTGAAGCAACATTTGCTTGTTTTTGATTGTACTGTGGTTATGTAAGAAAATGTCCTTTTTATTAGGAAAGACACACTGATTTATTTTGAGATAAAAGGGGAGTGATGTCTAATCAATTCTCAAATGATTTTGAAAAAAATTACATAAGTGTAGACATGTATGAATGCATTTTGATAGATCAATAAAATTTATAAAGCTAATAAACACAAGGTTGAATGTAGGTAAGGGATTCCTTTTGGAGAGTTACAAGTGTGATTCTTGCAACTTCTCCTTTAAGCTTGAAATTCTTAAAAAATAAAAAGTGGCTTCTGTCTCCTGCAGGCCAAGCCAGGCTTCAGAATATCCGGGATATAGATGGAATTGCAGAACTGTTTGGGTCTACTTTTATTTTGTTAAGAGTGCCTTAGTAGGGGCCGGGGATTTAGCTCAGTGGTGCTGCACCTGCCTCACAAGTGCAAGGTCCTGAGTTCAATCCCTGGTACTGAAAAAAAAAATCAAACACTACCTTAGTTTTACTTCCTGCTTCACCATAATCTCATCTCCATCTTCCTCTCTCTATGGGACCAAAGGACCCCATCATTGTTACCCAGCCTTCACACCCCCGTGTTTCCACAGGTTGCTGTGCTACCTGACTGGCACTTCGCTTCCAGTTGCAGGTGAAGAATTTCCCTGGTTCCCTGAAAAAACATACAGGAGTTGCTGCTTCAAACAATCCTAGCTCTGCCTCTGACAGGTTCTCTCATGTTTCTAGTTTGTGCCAAGTTTCCATGTAACTGGTTACAAAGCTTCCTGAGGGGTGTCCACCTTCTGACCCTATTCAGAGCCCTCTTTACAACTCTGGAGCTGAGCCCCTTGGAGGTGAGGTCCAGTCTTTTCGGGGCCAAAGTCTACCAGAGGTCAGCCGGTCCAGCACTGATCCTCACTGGAGTGTAATTTATCAGGGAAGCCCACATGCACTGACCTCCATTCACAGTTTGCAGACTCCTAGCAGTTTCTTCAAAGGATCTGGACCCTCATATGAAAAGAAGGTTCCTAAAGTCCTAATCTGGTGATTCAGAATCCTTGTCAGGTACCCAGTTTAAGATCGCCTCTTCCCCAAACTAGAATTATATACAAATGAAGTGAGAATCCAAAGAGGAGCAAGTGAAGTTCTTGAACACTTGTGGTTGCTTCTAAGCTTAGTTGACTCGTCATTTACTCATGGGCAGAAGCTGCTCCATGATTCCCCAACCTGAGTAAGGAATTGTTCCACTCTAAATCACCTGCTGGGAAGAGCCATTCGTTATGAACAATGCACAAATATCCACAAAAACAAAACCATGTTGAGCAGATGAAAGGTGCTCATCCCAGGTTATAGCTTCCTCACATGGCTACTTTAGAGACCTTCTTGAAAGTTTTATTACACTTCTCGTCAAGGGACAGCATCCTCGCTGGATCAACAGTTGACATTCATAGGGATTTACGTACACAAATGTAATACTTGACTCCAGGTTTCTACTCTTCAATAGCCTGTGTCCTTTTCAAACTTCCTATATTGAAATTCTAGCCCCCAGTGTAGTGGCGTGAGATGGGACCTTTCAGAGGCAATTATAAGGGTGAAATTCCTATAAAAGGGACACCAGAGAACTCTAGCCCCCTCTCTGCCACATGAAGATTCAATGTGATGTTGGCAATTTGCAACCCAGAAGAGGGGCCTCACCAGAACTGGCCGTGGTGACACCCTGATCTCAGACTTCAGCCTCCAGATCCATGAGAAATAAATGTCTGTTGCTTCTGAGCCAGCAAGTTTACGGAACTCTGTTCCAGAAGCTTGAACTAAAACATTCCCACTCGGACCTGCCTTAGACCACCAGAAACTGATAATTAGCAGCCTTACAGTTAGTGGTTTGCACTCTCTGGGCATCAGTTGTCAATGTGTGTCCCCTAAAATAGCAACAGCGGGGAACCCAGGAGCTTGTGAGAAGTGTGCATGCTTGTCCCAGTCACTGAGAGAAGCCAGTGGACAGGCTGGGGACAGGTATTATGATTTGGATCAAAAATGACCCTCTGAAAGCTCATGTGTTCAGAGATGGGGCTTTGTGAAGGTGATTAGATCATGGGGAAATTAAACCCATCTGTGGCTTAATCCATTGATGAGTTCATAGCTGAATGTGCTGTTAAGGGTGAGGGCCTCGTTAGAGGAAGTGGGTCACTGGGAGTGTGACCTGGAAGGATGTATGTTTGTCCCAGGTCCCTTCTTCTCAGCCTGCTTTTTTCTCTCTGCTTCCAGCTGCCATGCATTGAGCAGCTTTCCTTCATCGTGCCCTTCCACCGTGAAGTTCCTCCATGGAAGCCAGTTGATCATGGACCAAAGCCTCTGAAACAGTGAGCCAAAATAAACCATCTTCTCCTCTAAGTTGTGGGTGTCGGGTATTTTATCCCACTGACGGAAAAGATGACTAATACAAAAGGATAAAAAAGTCCCTAGGAGGGTGAGTTGGAGTGGAGGGTAACCTCTAAAAGTGGGAGAGGCAGAGGAAGAGGAGAAGGAGGAAAGAGAAGGCGTCAGCCTGAGGATCCAGATTCAGCGTTAAAGCTGAGCGCAGTGGCATAAGAGTAGTGATTCCATCTACCACCCGGCTTGGTAAATACCATTTGGCCCAATCCTCCTGGACAAAGTCATTATGCAGGGCACAGGTGACACTTCTCTTTTCCTCTATCCTCCTCCACTCCTGCGGCATGACTCGGAAACATCTGATCTTACCAGGACACAAATACTGAGA